AGAAGCCATTAAGGCACCCACCCCTGCGAATCGCAGATTCCTCGAGCCGGCTCGCGGAACTATTCCACCGAGAATTTATTCTTAGCAGCCGCCTGTTAGTCCGCGTTTTCCACGATTCCCTCGAAATTCTTCGAGCCTTCGACCTCGTCGAAAACCTTCTCCACGGAAAAATTTTTATTCCCTACCTCGCCTTATTCGCGTTCCTCTCCTCGATCACGTCCTCCATTCTCTCTCTCTCTCTCTCTCATTCTCTCTCTCTCCCATTCTCTCCGCTCTGCGTACACATTCGAGACCCTGGTCTCGTACCAAATCAATTACTGGTTACTCGGTTACTCGCCGATGCGTTGTTGCGCCGAAGCGTGGAGATGCCACTCGCGCGGACCCGCGCGCGGACGTTACGTATACGCGGGGCGATACGCCGCGTATCGTAATTCGCAATTTGCCCGAGCATTCACCTTCGAATTCCCGTTACTCACGTTCCGTATCGTCATCCTACACTCGACACCCGGGGCACCGCTCCCGGCGGTAGCCGTGTACCACCGCGAGCGGCGAAATGGCTCGCGTGATCGATGCAGTTTTTCCTTTATTTCACGTGATAAGTATCGCGCGCGAGATCGAGATCCTCGACGGCGAGGAGCGAAACGGTAAGGGAGCAAGGGGTGAATTTGGATAAGTGGATGGATGGAAAATCTGCGGCCCAAATCGGATAGTGGGGTGTGGAGTGAGAGTGGAGAGAAATTGAGATTTGATTGAATTTTTTTCTCGTTTTTTTTTTTTTGTTGAATATGTAGAAAGGGGATAGCGAGAGGGAGGATTAAAATAAATATGTGAATGAGTTTCACAATGCGTCAAGAAGTGAAAGAGGATTTATTATAGAATCTGATGATTATGAAGATATAGGTATTTCTATTATATGTGGATGGAACTTCCATATTCGTTTATGTATTTCGGTAAAAAAAATACTTCGATGTTTGTTCAAAAATCTATTATTAGTCATTTCTTACTATATGATTTATTTTTGATAACTTTTATTTTTCAATAAAAATTAAATTTCTGTTTAAAAGGTACTTATTTTATCCGATTCTCAGACTGAGAATCGATTATTTCCTTTTTCGTTAATTTTTTTGTCAATTCTTATTTATAAAATTGATCTTGACTGATCTAATTATATAAAACACATAACAATTAATTTATTACAATCTTCCAAAAGTATTCAAATAATTCTTTCTTAATTCTGACAAAAAATACTTCAACCTCTCCATCAATTTTCTTTACACACAGTCCATCGAAATTAAATTTAACTTAAATTAAATTTAGAAACAAATAAAAATATCGAAAAGTCGAAAGTTATCTATAGAAAAAAAAAGTAAAGCTGAAAATTCGGCCGATACCCTAAATCATCTTTAAACGGCAGATATTAAACGTATGCGGTCCCTGATCCTCCCAGGCTATCCTTTTCCGTGTCGCACGATTGTTGCTACTCCCAAGCTGGCAATTAATTCTTACCGACGCCGGCGCTTTGTAATCACCGCTTAATGGACAAGCCGCTATTTATCGTCGCCCGGTTTATAATTAAACACCATCCACGAGCCGATCGGTTGCCTAATGCGAGTAGACGCGGGATGTATTTATTGCCAGCACACGATTCTCTCGCTGTTACTCTGAAGCGAAATTTTCGCTATGTCACCAAAGGCCTATTTACGAAGTTTTGCGACCGTATCGTAATTTTAATCTTGAAAAATTAATCAATTTTCCTAGTTTCTCTTGGGACAGTTTCGATGATGTGTGTCTTTGGGAAGAAATAATAAAATAAATGTAAGAGTCTATGTTGAAAAATTGTTGAGATTGAAATGATTGAATTGATGCAAAAGTTTAAAATTTGTTTTAAAAATTTTTAAAGTTTTGACGTGTAAATTTAACGATAAGTTTGGAATGTTGTAACGTTATGAGAAAATTGGTTATATAGTTCACATGACAGAATGTGAATTTTATACGTAAGAATCTTTTTGTGTTATATCTATAGAGTATATCGAATGCATTGTATTAAGCGTTTGATTAATTATACGCTTATACTACTGAAATCGACTCTTGATCTTCTTGTTAGAATTACGCTTCTTTTTTTTTTCTTAGAAATTTATAGAATAGTTTTTATATGTTAAATTAAGGATAATTAAATAACTAATTCTGAATTTGGAATTAATATTTCTGTATATACATATAGATAATATTATCTGTTTTATTTTAAAATATTAATTTTTATGAATGAACTTTACATCATAGTGCAACTTCTTTCTAGAAATAAAAATTATTGATATTTTTCATAAGAATAGTAACGAAAATATAATTATTTATGATCAATTATTCATATTACTAATGATTAAAATCTATCTTTAGTGTTCTTTAATGTATTATGAAGCTATAAATATACATATTCTCTTCGATCGAATTTCAAGAGTTCAAAATATTGTTAAATCTTAATTACTTACGAACTTTATGGGATAAAATTAGTTGAATAAAATTTAAATGAATATGGAAATAGATAAGTAAATTTATATTACAAGAATAACTTGTTGTTGGATTGGAATATCTAGATTAGTCAACCTAGTGACCACCTTTTTCTTCCTAAGAGATTATTCGAGATACATTGAACTTTGATTACATAATTCGTAAAATTAAAATGTTACCCAGAAATACATGTACAACCTTTCTTGTACAAGTTGTACAAATTTTGTGTTCAGAATTGTGCATATTGAAAGATATTATAATGAAACAAACAAATGATAACATTTTGCCATTCTAAGATAAGATATAAAATTTCCAAGTGATTGGTGAAATATTTTTTTAGAATTTCGTAACGTTTCGAAAGCATAAAACAAAATGGAGAAAAATACACGAGCACGGCAAAGAACATGAAACTTTCCTTGGGAATTGCAACGACATGCACAAGATTGTATAAATTATCGATGTACTTTAACCAACGAGTTGTTCTCAACACATAGTTTATATAATCCTTAGCATTACACGATGAAGAATAAATTTCTCCGTAATCTAATCTCGTTTTTTTTTCTTTTTTCTTTTTTTTTTACACATTTCGACTTTAAATATCGTATACATCGCTTGATATAAATAGATATGCCCGGTTAGAACATCGTGTTAAGTATCCTCTCACCAAAGAAAGACAAAAACGGGTAGGAAATCACATGGCATTAAGAAAAGCCATTAAGTAGGTTCAGAGAGAAAACCATTTCTCTTTTGACCCCATCGATCTATTCGAACACGCAATCTTAAACATAACCATGTATTTATTTAACTTTCAACGATATAACGGCTTTCATAGTCACAAAATATCTCACTATTTTTCTAGTAAACGCCGT